CCTACATATAGCCTCCATGAAACGATGAAACGTGTCTATAGTTTTAACAAGCCCGTCTTACGGCTTTTATTTAGGTCACTTTTCATTTGTTTAGCCCATGAATAAAGATAATAAATAACTACGTGATCTACATGAATTAACATCACTGGAAAAACTAAATAAAGGGATGATATATACTCGATTGACATGCCTTGATTTGTTTTTTTTAATACAATTTTGAAGTGACGACCTTGTTAGCTGGTTTTTGGGTTTTTTTCTTTTGTTACGATTTTGTTAGTAGGCGGAAATGTATTTATTAATATGTTGTCTAATTTGTATTAAGATATTATAAATCGAAACTTAAATGCCACCTCGCTGCATATACCAGTGACGTTGTGCTTCGAAGTGTTGAGCCACTGCCCAAAAAGGTGAAATTTGGGAAGTCGGGAAGACGAGGTTTATGTCAAAAGAAGGGAGCGTCATGGGTTAGATTTATTGCGATCCCTCTCGAAAGGAAAAAAATCAAATGGTTTCAAAATAGTTTCTAACTCTATTAGCACACAACTGCCATGTCTGCTTACTACAGATGTGAAAGCGAGAGGGGTGGGGGGGAGAAATGGGGTCTTACGTCCACTTGACACAAACTAGGTCATTTCAAGACTAACATATGGTTCAATTTTATTCCAATAATTCGCTTGAGCTTAAGGGTCTTTAGCAGTGGGAGGAAACCGGAGGACCCGGAGAAAACCCACGAGGTTGGAAAGGAGGCTCTACTCCGCGCACGTACACTTGTCTCAATGACATACCTTATAATGCAACGCACATGCGTTAACCATTCGCCCCCTCCCCACCCACCACCCCAGATGTGAAAGCTCTGTTTAATTCACAGTCACTATGTATGGTTCTGCTTAGATTCTGCTCAACCTATCGTTCAAATGTCAAACATATAACATTGTGGATTGATGCTCAATTATCGAACCGTCGCTATACCAATATCCAGTAAATTGCACCGACTGCTCCAAACACGATTCACCAATACAGTAATCGATTATGATTTGCGTAATTGGAATAATAATATATTTAATCGTCTATTGTCTCACCCCTTTGTCAAGGAACCATATGCAGTGTACAGTTTGACGCAAACGTTAAAGAACCCTTGACAGTTGGAATTAAATTGCTGTCCGGGCAAAATTCCTCTTATAACACACCCGTCTTCATTTAGCTCGAACGGTGCAGACAAATAGAAAATGAAATGGGGTTTAACGTCCACTGTTCTGCTCCGAACTGGGCTAATGAAGACGGGCATACGCCATACAGTGTGCTATGAGGGAAATTTTGCCCGGAGAGCGGCACTGTGGCCTACTCTTATATCGAATTCCAACTTTCAATGAATCTTTTACGTGCACGCCAATGTGTACACGGGACCTTGGGTTTTCGTACAATCCGAACGACTAGACATCTGTCCTTGTCAGGCCCTCCGTCCTGCATCACTGACAAGGGGGAACCACGCCGGAAAATCTGGATGAACTTTCTCGGCCAATGCAGGGAGCGAACACAGACCTCCAGGCTAGCGAGTCGGCGTCTTACCCGCTTAGCCACCAGACAAATAGGACGTTATACCCCATTTTCATTCATTCATTCTTACCTTTAATGTTTTTATCTGTACAATGTGATCATCCACGCACTGGTCTTCTCTGATTATAACTAAATTCACACACTGTATAAATCTATAATATAAGAACCTTGGTATATAACTAAATCCACACACTGTATATAATCTATAGTATAATTTCCCTCCTGGCGTATCCCGTCTTCATTATCCCGGTTGGTGCATAAAAGTGGGACGCTAAACCCCATTTCCATTCATTCAGTCTTACCTTTAATATAACCCTAATGATGTTTATATATGTACCGCCATCTTCCATACACCGGTCTTCTCTGATTAAAACTAAATCCTCACAATGTATACAGTCTTACAGGCTGTATGTATTATAACTTAATACACGAATGAACCCAGTTCGACGTCAAATAATTAGTACTTATGTTTCTTATAGATTAAAGCTCCTTGAATAATAAATATTATGAGACCGCTGTGTTTCGATGTATTAGCTATGCACCCCCAGTATAAGAAGTCCTATACAAGTCAAGATGGACGTTAAACCCCATTTCATTTCATTTCATTTCACGCCTGATAATCAAGCAGCGCACGCTCTAGGTATGATGTATCGGTGTTATGATGGAATCCTCGTGTATTATTTATTTTAATTATTGATGATATTATATGATGAAAGTACGCGGGAGAGTATCTGGTATCAAATTAGCCAGTGGCGGATCCAGGTAGAGGTCCTAGGATCCCCCACACCCTGAATGACAGTATAAAATATCACGTATTCGACGTCATAGGTCTGAAAGGTCTTAAAGATACGTTATGTAAGATTTAGATAAAGAGAGAGAGAGAAATGGGGTTTAACGTCCACTAGACACAAACTAGGTCATTTCAGGATTAACATATGGTTCAATTTTATTTCTATAATTCGCTTGCGCGTAGGGGTCTTTAGCAGTGGGAGGAAACCGGAGGACCCGGAGAAAACCCACGAGGTTGGACAGCCAACCCTACTCCTTGTCACGTACAACCGGGGAATCGAAACCCCGCCAGTTGACTCAATGACAGACCGTATGATACAGCGCGCGCATGCTAACCATTCAGCCATCCAACCCCCCCCCAGTAGATAATGAAAAGGGAATATGTTGAAAATGTCAGTAAATTTACTTCAGTCTGAGCGACGTTAAGGCTATTTGAAGAACGGAGTAGTCTCGATTGTCATTGCTACTGTTGCTGCGATAGTAAACAAAGTCTCGATTATCCATTTTTTAATTAAATCATTAACCGCCAATCGTGTTTAAATCCGTTGAAAATCAAAAGCATCCGATGGCATCTTGAGTTGATTATTGTCTTGGCAAGTTAATAAATGTCTAATCAATAACTTATAATAACGTATATAACATTTAAGGCCTAAAGAAAGACCTACAATAGGGAGATTTAGCTCTTTAATAATGTATCTTTATGTGTTAAAAATGCCGGATTTAGTATCGAAATAGCTAGAGGCGGGTCTAGGTGGAGCCCCCCGCCCCTCTCCCGCCAAACACACGCACTATATGACCGAATAAATAAATCAGTTATTATTCTGTTGCTGTGGAACGTGTTAATTTGAACTTATTGTTGGTTGGGGTGATGTAGCTAATGAAATGTCCAGACGAGAGAATGGGTGGATCTATATTTCGTTTCGTTATTTTATACTTTCGATGGCCTACCGAAATTTTGAACTATAAAAACGAAACGAAATTGGATCTGTGTTTTAATCAGATTGGAGATTAAAGAGAGAGAGAGAGAGAGAGAGAGAGAGAGAGAGAGATGGGGTTTAACGTCCACTCGACACAAACTAGGTAATTTCGGGACTAACATATGGTTTAATTTTATTTCAATAATTCGCTTGCGCGTAGGGGTCTTTAGCAGTGGGAGGACCCGGAGAAAACCAACGAGGTTGGACAGGCGACCCTACTCCTTGTCACGTACAACCGGGGATTCGAAACCACGCCAGTCGACTCAATGACAGACTGTATGATACAGCGCGGGCACGCTAACCATTCAGCCATCCAACTACCTGGAGATTAAAGAACCTGAGGTAGTGGTCAATAAGAATACTAGAAGAATGTTTAATCATTTCATTGATTATCAAGTCTGGTCCGCTGGATTTGTTGTTCTTTAGATTTCTTATGGTTGTTTTAAATTCAATTGAATGTTTACTCGGGGGACCCCCCCCCCCCCCCGGAACCCCTCTAACCAAATATTCTGTGTCCGCTTCGCTATTGAAATTAGCTCGTATCAATCTTGTATTTCACCACAGGTAGACGAGATACAGCAAGTGAGGAATTTTGCTTTAGAAAGAGAAATCAATGAATGAATGTAAGAGGATTGGGTGAATAGTCGCTTCAAAGTGTTGTTTATCCGATCTGTACATAGCGTGGAAGAAAATGGTTAATCAATTTATAATAAGATGGGTGTGGTCGTCATCACCTCTTACGTTTCACAAGTCATACACCAACAATATACATACTGGTTGATTGATATGTAGGGTTCGATCCAGGTGTTGGCCGAGAAAGTTCATAGGGATTTTCCGACGTGGTTTCCCCTTGTCAGTGGTGCAGAAAAGCTGTCTAGTCATTCGAAGAGGACGAAAACCGAAGTCTCATGTACACATTGGCGTGCACGTAAAAGATCCCTTGGCAGTTAGAATTTGATTTAAGAGTAGGCCGTAGCGCCGCTGTCCGGGCAAAATTTCCCTCATAGCACACTGCATGGGGTAAACCCGTCATCAATAGCCCAGTCGGATCAGAACAGTAGGACGTCAAACCCCATTTCATTTCATTTCCAATATACATACTGGTTGGTTGATATGTAGACCTTAAAGTCCGCTTCAAGCGATGGTAATATCGCAGACAGAAATTGATATACTTACTATAAACTATGTCGACTCTACTCCCCCTATTGGATATTGGTTGGGTTCATCCATCCCGCTTCAAGTGATTTTATATCAATAAGAAATTAATCAGAAAGGTTGAGTAAATCATTGATTATAACATCATGGATGTATGCCAATCAATAGAATATATTACATGTGTGTGTGTGAGAGAGAGAGAGAGAGAGAGAGAGAGAGAGAGATGTGGTTTAACGTCCACACGACATAGACTAGGTCATTTTGGGACTAACAGATGGTTCAATAATGCGCTAAAGCTTAGGGGTCTTTAGCAGTGGGAGGAAACCAGAAGACCCGGAGAAAACTCACGAGGTTGGACAGGCGACCTTACTCCTTGTCAGGTACAACCGGTGAATCGAAACCAGGCAAGTTGACTCAATGACAGACCTTATTATACAGCGCGCACTTGCTAACCATTCGGTCATCCAATCCAGCTTATCTATTTATAAGTGAAGATGTAATATATACCAATTGAACTGATACCCTTGGTAAATAAGTTAAACTGATAACACATCCATATAGGATAACCATGAATTAAATTGAAGAATATATGAAGAACTTGAAGATATATCTATAAAACATGGTAGGAAGGTTACTTTTGTATATATATATCTGTAATTCAATTATATAATAAACAAACTAATTCAATTAAGCGAATTTTGGTCTATAGAGGGCTTCCACGTGCGATGAATTAAGACCGAATTAGTAAATTGGCTAAGAAAGATCACACCCATTAAAATATCTCTTTTATTATTGTGCGCAGCAAAATGGCCGTTAGTTCTTATTAAGGTCTATCAAACATTAAAATTGACCCTGGGTGTTTGAGAGAGAGAGAGAGAGAGAGAGAGAGGGGGGGGGGGTTAACGCCCATTCGACATAAACTAGGTCATTTCAGGACTAACACATGGTTCAATTTTATTTCAATAATTCGCTTGCGCGTAGGGGTCTTTAGCAGTGGGAGGAAACCGGATGACCCAGAGAAAACCCATGAGGTAGGACAGGTATCCCTACTCCTTGTTACGTACAGCCGGGGATTCGAAGAGAGAGAGGCCAGTTGACTCAATGACAGGCCTTATGATACAGCGCGTACGTGCTAACCATTCGCTTCCCCCCCCCCCCCTACATATTTTCAGATGTTTTATAATATGTTGTTGGAGTCAATATGTATTGTATATTTGTTTTATAGGCACAACCACACTTTACAGACGAGAAAATATCCGGTAAGGAAACATTTTCGTGAAATTACAATAGAATATGTACCAATCTGATTATAATACAGATCTATATTTCGTTTCCCTTTTTTTTTCTTTTTTTTTTTTTTTGGCTTTCGATGGCCTTCACTACATGAATATCTGACCAGTTTTACTGAAAGGTCGCGTCAGGGGTCGTGCGAGCGACCTTTGACCTTATGGCGTCAGACATTGATTAATCAATCAGCGTTGGCGTTTCTAGTGGTTTACCCACAGTTCCGTGCATGGCACGATAAGAAGTCGCCGTAGCAGATAGTTGCATTGGCTAATACCTCACGCCATCCAGAGCGCATGTTATATAACAACTATTCCAGATCCCTGTGAAGTAAAGACAAGTAAAATGAAATTTTGAACTATAATAAACGAAACGAAATAGGATCTGTGTTTTAATCAGATTGGAATATTACATTTGTTTTGTTGTTTATAAAAGCCTATAAAAAGTTCATAGTCGAGATCAGTTATTCAATTTGATTCGGTTGTGGTAACTTTCTCCATGTGTACTAGTTTAATGGAATGGAATTAAATGTCCCGCGGGCGCCAAGTCAATTCCTTGGTCATTTTCAGACTAAAATGGTAATTTGTATTTCACTTCTCACGTGTGAAAAGCGACGTATATCGTCTTCGTGAGCACAGTTAGTGCAGAACGGGTCATTCCATTGGTTCATTCATTGTAGTTATCTCCCCTTAGCTAATCATGTGATGATTACTGAAAGTAATCTGAAGGTGTTCGCCTGCTCCTGTCTCAGAACTGTCAGGCATAAGATGGTCAAACTGGGAGCTGTTAGAGCGAATAAACAATAAACAAGAAAATCATAAAAGAACGCAAATGGATAGAACATGTCTTATACTGCCTGCATTTTATTAGAACCCATAAGTCAAGCGAAAGCGAATAGTTCAGATGACAGCATAATTCGCTTGCGTGTAGGGGTCTTTAGTAGTGGGAGAAAACTGGGCAAAACCCAGAGAAGTGCCACGAGGTTTTACAGGTGGCCATACCAGGGAAATCAAAACCACACCACTTGTGTCAATGACGGACCTTAGCATCTAACGCGCACCCTTTCAATCATTCGGTCACCCCCTCTCCCATCCCTATAAATCTATTTATCAAATCAGTGTTTTATTGTAGAATTCCGTGAAGCTTTTACATTATTTGATAAAGATGGCGACGGGTTCGTGTCGGCTGATGAACTTGGAACTGTTATGAGAGCTTTAGGTGGAACAATCACTGATGCTGAATTAAATGAAATGGTGGCATCCGTAGATACTGATAGTGAGTAGAATATACACATTCTGTACTAAAAATTAAACTTCTATCCAGTGAATGCTGTTAAAGAGGGGCCTGACAAGGACAGCTGTGTAGTCATTCGGATGGTATGAAAAACCGAGGTCCCGTGTACACATTGGCGTGCACGTAAAAGATCCATTGGCTGTTGGAATTCGATATAAGAGTAGGCTGTAGTGCCGCTGCCCGGGCAGAATTTCCCTCATAGCACACTGTATGGCGTATGGCCGTCTTCATTAGCCCAGATCGGAACAGAACAGTAGGACGTTAAACCCCATTTCACTTCATTTCATTTGTTAAAGAGTCTGGAGAAATGCATGATCATCTTCAATATCCCGGTTCGTACAGAAAAGTATTACGTTAAACATTTAGTGAAAGCTAATTGTAGGCCGGTTGGGGAAGTTCGGGAATCTCCAGAGTCCACAATGGTCTCTTTATATAACTGAATATTTTGGGGAATACTAGTAATAACCCTAATCCTTTCAAGATGGGTAAAAGGTAATTTGGATCCAAGTTCAGTCTTCTAAAAAGGGTTAGAGTTAGTATTCCCCAAAATACTCATTTATATAAAGCGGCCATTGTGGAACTCTCCAGCCGGCCTACAATTAGCATCTCCCTGTCACTGAGTCAACTGGCGTGGTTTTGATTCCCTGGTTGTACGTGACAAGGAGTTCGCCTGTCCATCCTCGTGGAATTTCTCCGGGTCCTCCGGTTTCCTCCCACTGCTAGTTCTGTAGTTCATCCATAACTTTATTAAGGGCTGCTGCACCCCCCCCCCCCTGTGATTTAGAGCTGACTGTGTTACCATTATCAGGACAGGAAAACATGTGTTCAGTATCACAGGGGCATTCTTGTTCTTCCAATAACTTTTTGTTGTATTCGGCTACCACGCCCTTTGGGTGGGTCAAGAAGTCAAATCGCAATCCGACATGACTGAGTACCCAGCCAGATTTTGAAGGATAGACAATTCAATCTCGCTCCCAGAGATGACTTTACCCTTCGTTGATCTCTGGTAAAACTCGCCGTCCATTTTGAAATCGGCAGCATTTCATTTTAACAAATCCTGCCTATCGGTAGCCACGGGGGGCGGAGCTAAACAACTGAATTCACGTCGATTAATGACCGGCGAATTTTACCAGAGATTGTAGACATTTATGGCTATTAACCCATTCATTCATTCAGTCATTTATTCTGTTTTCAGACTGAGGGTTAGAAATTAGACCGCTGCACACAAGCGGGTTATTTAAGAATTATTTATCATATGTTAGTCCCGAAATGACATAGTTTATGCTGAGTGGACGTTAAACAACATTCTCTCTCTCTCTCTCTGTTTCCAGAAAATAATTTAATCGACTTTCCAGAGTTTTTAACCTATATGGCTAAAACGTTATCTAAGAAGGAATCACCGGACACTGTGTTAGAAGCCTTTGCTGTCTTCGATAAAGATAATAATGGTTTCATTAGTGCTCGTGAATTACGTCACGTGATGACGAATCTGGGTGAAAGGTTAACTGATGAAGAAGTGGATGAAATGATCAGAGAAGCCGACATGGATGGAGATGGACAAATAAATTATACAGGTGACTAATTGTTATCGAAATTCATTGTTCCGCGACATTTCGTTCTGGAGTAACCCCCACCCCCTCTCCCGCCCTTTTCCGGAAACCTTGTTAACCTGATGGACCCCACACCCACGACCCTTTCCCGAAAACCTTGTTGACGCGATTGTTTTGCAAATTTGGCGAGAAAATACAATCGATAAGAAATAAAACATATTCAACATAATTCAGGGGGGGGGGGGACGCCCCAGGGGCGGTGGCAATAAGCAATATACAGGTCAAATCATCAGAAGATGAATCATGTTTTCAAATGTTTGAGCATACTATACTTATCAATTAATGAACATTTTCGTACAACAGAGAAAGTTTCCATCGATCCGCCATTCAACCTTTAGTTCTTTGGATAGTTGCAATCGAATGTGTATAATTTCGACATGTCCCATTTACCATCCACTGACCGTGAATACCGATGTTCCAGAAATATGTTACGATCTGGCCACGTCATGCTTTTTTTTCTATTTCAGAATTTGTGAAGCTGATGACGGAATAGAGACCAAATCAGAAAATAAAGCCAGCCACATCTCGATCCCAATTGCTGGAATTAATAAATTAATATCCCAATTGCTGGAGTCCATATACATGGTATATTACCATTCCACGCTCATCGTGTCAGGGTCAGACAACTCTGTATAATATTTAGAAAACTTTATTCATAACAATTCAATTATATAATCAGCATACAAAAAATATCAACACAACATAGCACATATCAAGTATTACATTTCCAGAAATATATTTCCCTATAAACTGTTTGTAAATATATTTAAAATGACCACTCGTATCAAGTCATTTACATATCTATATATTTTTACAGATACCTTGTAAAATGTCTCATTATTTGTAAATAAAGTTAAAATGACCGTTTGGTTCCCGGTCTTAATAAAATTGTAAAATTATATTACCTTTGTAAATCATCATTTACAGATCGTATAAAATGACCATTTACAGATCGTATAAAATGACCATTTATAGATCGAAGATCGAATAAAATGTCACATAATTCGTAAATATATTTAAAATGACTGTTTCGTTGAAAAATATTGTTCAAAATTGAAATGAAATGTTGTTTAACGTCCGACCTGTCTGCATACGCTATGCAGTGTCCCATCAGGAACATTTTGCCCGAACATTGGCGCTACGTACTATTCACGCAAACAGGACTTCGGTTTTCCGTCCCACTCGAATGACTAGGCGCTGCCCTTCCCAGACACTACCCCCTGCACCACTGACAAGGGGAAATCGAAGGAACTTTTTCGGCCAACACCGGAGAAATTAACGTTGAATAAACTTGTGAGCATGCTCCATCCCCACATCACATATGTTGTATCAAATTAACCAGCATGACTGTCCAATTTTGGCCCCGGTGCGAATTTGGGTACGGTGCGAATTGGCCTAGGGCGAATTGGGGCCCCTGACAAAACCGGGTATCCTACTAGTTGATAATAAAACATCGTATCGCCGTCATTCAGTTCAATGTCACATTTCTTCAATCACACACTATATAAAATAACCCGTATCAGGTCTCAAATAAAACAACAATCGGATTAAAATAAAATATAAGTTGTTACAAAAACAATAATACATGGAATAAAACAACAGTGTCATTGTGTCCTGACTGACGACTGATGTTAAACAGTTGCACGTACCCTTGGCATTGTGGTATTATTTTTATTTGTGGAAAATCCAATAAAACATTTACTCCCAAAAGTGTTACTGTGTTTTGGAAGATTTGCAATATAAAGTCACTCTATCGCACTAACACTAAGCACTGGAGTCTATGCACGTACAACACATGGAATGAAACAATGCGTCGAGTCATTGTGTCCCGGAAGACTTGGTTGCAAGAAAATGTTCACTAAGCACAGGGTATTCTTCTCTTTTTTCTTGGCACTAACCTTTTATTTTTATTATCAAAATGTCTAGAAGGCATTAAATAGAAGTAACTGTTCGTCATCATCAGATATCGAGGCGTAGGACGAGGTGGACGAGCTCCTTGTGTAGTCGGTTGGATCTTCGGATGAGTCATCTGAGTCACTGGAAAATGTTTCATCTTCAAAACCTAAGGTACCGAAATTCAGAGCTTCTTTAGGATCATACTTGGAATAAGAACATTCGAGGAGTTCGCGGGCGCTGTCGGGTTTAAAACTGAGAAGGAGTGGTGTTCGCTTTGGGAATTCTGGTACTTTTGGTGTGGAGGTCTGAGGTGGAACAGAAAGACTGTACTTCGTGGTAAAGCTGGACACTAACCATGGGCAACAGCAGCATGAAGATTTCGTGGGAACTGAAACTTGAACATCTTTGGGAATAACGGAACACCTGGAAGCTCTGATATTTGATTGATCTGGGCTAAAGCTTTGGGATGATCTGGTACATCTGATGGATCCTGCACGATTGGCGATGTTCTTGGCGCATCTGTTGTACGGTTCTAAAAATGGCGGTAAAAATTCCCAGGATCTCATGGCAGGGGTCAGATAATCTGGACAGAAGTTCTGCATCAAGCTGATGGTCGTGATGACTAGTACCATAAACAGCAGGAAGGAGATGAAAATGATAACATAATGTGGTCCGGCTAAGGCGAATCCGAAGATGGCAAGAGGCAACAGGAAAAACGCCAAGGTGATCACAGCAACCATAACCCATCGATATTCCCGGATCTTCTCGCTCAGAGACTCTGCAAAGTGTATAGGTATCCTGCTGCTGTAGGGAATGCAGTAGAACAAAACCAGGCCACATATATTAAACATTAGATGACTGCTGAGAATCCGGAGACCCGCGGCAGACGTCATCGGATCGGACATAGCTTGCAAGAGGATGGAAACTGCTGCTCCAGTATTGGATCCAACTATCAACGGATAGACTTTCTCTGTATTCAGGAACCCAGCACCGATGATAGGTAACGCGGCACACTGGATCAAAATATTATCCTGTACTAACATAGTAACGGCACATCCGACAGCAACCAGACCAAGTCCCTTCAGGTATGAACAGTAGTCTTTGGGTACGTTGGTAGACATAGAATAGGTAGAGTTATCTTTCCTTGATACGAGCTTGCTGGTGAGGATGGTGAAGACTATACAACCTATCAAGCTGGTTATCATCAGTAGTAATCCTATTGTCACTGTGCTTAATCCGCTTTCACATAATATTCCTCTACCTAAAACATAAAAGAAAAAGTGGTATGCTAATAACTTTAATAACCACGTTTAGTTATGATAGAGAAGTCATATCTGGTGAAAGATTACGAATGTCTTGCTCGTACACAAGTATATGTAGACCCCTCAAGCTTCAATGTCCCTTGTTTGAGGCACAGTCGTCGCTGCTCAAAAGTGAAGACCGGTTGAAATATTTCAGAAGGCCTACGCCCGGTTCCATCCCTAATCTGACCCTTTCTTAAAAACACCCTGATTATTTTCTTGGAAACATGTCACAATGTATAAATTATTACTTACATTGAATGGTTCTGTTAAGTGAGACTGTTTCGTATGTATCATATGTGGTGTCATTAAGCTGAAGCTGTAAATATAATCAACATATTTATTAATAAATATTGTTTAGAAAGGTCTACATTGTACGGTCCCCAAGCGAAAACTCTTAAGTAAAATCGACATAAAACTTGACATGCTTGTTCCTTTGACAATTTTGCGGCAATTGACGGGATTCCGTGTCCATATATATTCTTTTTATCGACTATCGACAGTCGTGGTAGTGAAGACGGTCATGGGGTGAATGTTTCCCAGACAGCTGATTTACCAGTTACGTAATGATAATCTAAAATGCCAAGAATCAACAGGTGAAATATTTACCTGTAGAATATAACCGGTGATTGGTTTTAATACACCTTGTAATAAACCATATTGTTGATAGGTAGCGATAACAGGAAAATCTTCATAAAATATCCACGCAGATACATGCACCAAAAAACCTGAAAATACAAAGTGTGTAAGGTATCAATAAATTAGCACAGATTACCTAGATGGGTGGTATCATTAATGGGATAACGGGCCTGATAAGATGGGATATGCAAGGAAGGGCCTGAAATGGGGTTGAACGTCCTACTGTTCTGCACCGACTGGGATAATTAAGAGGAGCGTATGCCATACGGTGTTCTATGATGGACACCGGGTCATCCCTCTTTTTAGCAAATGGCGAGTGTCTGGTATATGATACCAGGTAATCGAGGATGGATAACAAGAAATAAGGTTGTTAATTTACCTGTAGCCAATTCTAATGGTAGTAATATTATCGTCGTAAACCAGTGAACCAGGTGTGATAATAAAACACTACATACAGCCTGACTAAATCTACATCTCTTATTGACTAAAAACATGGCCGTCAGTGCTGGTGTCAAACTAGAACCAATATTCATCCCCATTATTAACGGTATGGCTGCAGACAGGTGAATAACTGAAAAAAACAGAAGAATTTGTTAGGGTGTACCAATACTAACGATATGGCTGTTGACGGGTTGCATCTATTTCATAAGGCTAACTTCAAGTTTGGTCAAAGGCCACGAGATAGAAACAGGGCTAGTGCTAATCCCAACCCTAACCCTGGACCTATCCCATTATTAACGGTGTGTTCTGCAAGACAAAATGTATATGGTGGATTTTGGTAGGACTCTTCGCGTGATCGCGATGGAAGTTTGAGGTGATCCTACTTTGTGTCAAATGCAAGCTTGGAATAGAACGACCCAGAGACAGATCTTGTGGTCTAAAGTACAAACGTTAGAACCCCCATTCTTAATGTTAGAAAGAATGATAACTTACTATTATCTGTAACCATGGTTATTATGATAAACAAAGTAACTTGTTGATTCTGTAATATTGATGACGCCAGGATACCAACCATCAATGTGGTGATAGGATTACATAAAATATCAGGTCTCCATAATAAAATATAATCTGAAAAATAAAAATTGAACAATTGTAAATTTCAAGGATGTATATCACATTTCAAGGATGTATTTCACGGATGTATTTCCGTATTGAATTTTTGTACCCGTTCAAATATTCGAATATGAAAAGCTTTTCAATATTCCATGGTAATTCAAACAATAGAAAATCCCATAAATCCAAATCGATCGTTTGAATTTTCAAATAGATTCAATTAATGAGTTTGAATTTTCAAATAGATTCAATTAATTTTGCCTTGGCAAAAAGCAATGTGAGACAACAATACAAATTACCTTTTGCAGCCCATCTACCTAGCCGAAGCAATAAAAGTGGAATGATAAATGTTAAAAACAAGCTTTAAAAACGTACCTGTTGAATTTTCTCCCAATAGAACAGTTGAAGATGTAAAATATATCAGTGACGTCATAAATAGGAAACTTAACACCAATACGCCAACAATTATTGATAATCTTTTCAATATACTCATCGTTTCAACTGAAAATATATATTCAACATAAATCATAAAACACAAAATAAACTTCCATTTGCATTCGAGTGGTTCTACAAGGCTATTCAATCTGATCAATAGAAATGAAATGGGGTTTAACGTCCTACTGTTCTGCTCCTATACTAGGCTAATGAAGACGGGTATACGCCATACAGTGTGCTATGAGGGGAATTTTGCCCGGACAGTGGCACTACGACTTACTCTTATATCATCGAATTCCAACTGCCAAGGGATTTTTTACGTGCACGCCAATGTGTACACGGGACCCCTGTTTTTCGTCCCATCCGAACAACTATAGACAGCTGGCCCTCCGTCCTGCATCACTGACAAGGGAAAATCTAATCAATAGTGGTATTGATCAGTTTTGTTGTATGGAGTAATAATAATCAATAATATTCAAAAATAACAATATATGGATAATGCAAAAATTCTACAAATCTGAAAAAGACCCAAAACTTAAATAGAATATTCGATAGAAATTTCGAATATTGACATTCGAATAGCGAAATCAAAGATCTAACATGTCTAGTTGAGACAGTTATTCTTACGTCCCTGGGTGAATAATGAACGAACGAACTTAGTTTATCAATAATAATTTAAAAAACCCAACAGATTTACTACTTTATTACCATGCCACATTTGAATATCCATATACAGATATCTGTATAAAACAAGTTATAAAAGATTTAATTAGTCAAAGGGAATTATTCAATTAATCTATGAGAATATTATGAACAAAATAGATCTATGGCAATATCCTGAAACACAGAAGTTTGAAATTAAACATACCTTTATTTCGAGGACGATGTGTGGGCAAGATCTCCATGTTTCAACAACAAATAATCCTTTATCACAATTAAATGTGTATATTCCTTTGTGTTCTGAAGTAGGTATAACTATAAATAAAACGTTGTATTTAATTCTCTTGAAGCGCTTTGTAGGACTGCAAGTAGATATATAACTGGAACTCTGTTTTTCGCCTTATATACTCTTTCACTAACTAAAATAATCAACGTTTACTCACGTGGCTTCAAAAAACTAATGCTTACTTTATGATTGTCTAAACACTACTCAAATATACCGCCAAAAGCCTATCAACATCGCTTTGATTAACCAGACTGTCATGGCGGCCATTGACTAATTAACTGTTATGAAGTGCTGGATAACCGTGTCACAAAGGTAAGCTGTGATTTGATTACACCTGTCGTAATTAGCTATTTAAAAGTCCATTGCTTTAGAAAAACTGAGGATTAATCAAAGACAGCGGTTTTTGTGATTTAGATGGTTTCATGACCTGATAATCACCTGACACTCCAGGTAATGGTTGTATTGATCTATTGAATTACCTGTATCTCAATACGAGAGGGCGTTCATTAAATCAAGTTTTATTTATTTGTAAGGACATTTAAAAAGGTGTTTAATGCATTTTTAAAAGAGATTACGTTTACACGTTGTTTCAAGTTGTTATTACATTTCATCTAATCGTAAAGTAGAAGTTACTCTCTCTCTCTCTCTCTCTCTCTCTCCTTAAAACTGACATAGGGAAATCTCTCTTTTTTAAAGATAATTTTTTAATCAAACTTTGTAAATGTGAACTGTTTTGATGTAGATAAAGAACGTCATTACAATAGATAAACGATATGTCCCTTGAATTATAGTGTCCGTGATGATTATCCAAGTTGATGCAGAAGAAATTAATCCCTGTTTCATTTCTGTTTCATTTTAAATATGTAATGATTTGTTCACCCCAAACTTAACTTTTACATATCTTGTTCACCATCAGTAATGTGAAATGGAATGGGCTTTAACGTACTACAGTTCTACTCCGACTGGGCTAATGAAGACGGGCATACGCCATGCATTGTGCTATGAGGGGAATTTTGTCCAGACAGTGGCACCATGGCATACTCTTATATCAAATTCCAATTGCTATCGTATCCACGGTTTCTCGGTTTTTCATATCATCAGAACGATAAGACAGCTGTGGCCTTGTCAGAAACCACGCCGGAAAATCCCAATGAACTTTCTCGGCCAATGCAGGGATCGAACACGCAACCTCCGGACTAACAAGCCAGCGTCTTACCCACTTAGCCACCGTGGCTCCTTAGCAGTAATGTACTGTTTCTAGAAATGAAATGAAATGGGGTTTAATGTCCTATTGTCGTCAAGCTGGTCTAAGCCTACTTTTTGGCTCTTTCTGGCAAGTTTCTTAGGAAGCAGACGCCAAACACCCACGGACGAACGAACGCCTTGTCTTCTGCACCTGGGCTAATACACCATACAGTGTGTGCTGTGAGGAAACTTTATATCGAAATCTAAATGTCAACGATTCTTTTACGGCCCATCCGACCGACTATACGTTGTCCCTTGTCAGGCCCACTGTCCTGCAACGCCGACAAGGAGAAACCACGCCGGAAAAACTTTCTCGGCCAATACTGTAATTGAACACGGTACGTCCAAGTTAGCGAACAAATGCCATACCCACTGAGCCACCGCGACTCCCGTCTTCCCTTGTATTAGACATCCAAATTCATTTGAATATTATATGCGGGAGTTGGATGGCCGAATGGTAAGGTAAGCACGCGCGCGTTGTATCATAAGGTCTGTCATTGAGTCAACCTCGTGGGTTTTCTCCGGGTCTTGAATATTATACCACCAATATCGTTGTACAACATTAGACACACACCAAGAACATGTCTTGAAATCGCCATCGTCATGTTTTTAGAACTTAAAAATAAAATTCGAAAAATAACTCAGGAAGTGGCAAAAAATGGACACTTAATTTATTTTGTAAAACATACATTTTATTTGTTTTGTTCTCTAATTTTATTTATTCGTTTGTTTGTATTTAAATAGATCTATTACATTACATGTACCTTTCAAGGAAATATTGTGTTATATAAATGTCTTGTTCGTGATTTCCTTCAGATACCATTGTCTAGTTCAGAGTTCATCAAGTTTAATTATTGTTAAAGGTAAGATCATCCCGAGATAAGAGAGAGAGAGAAATGGGGTTTAACGTCCACTCTACACAAACTAGGTCATTTCGGGACTAACATATGGTTTTAGTTTTTTATTTCAATAATTCGCTTGAGCATAGGAGTCTTTAGCTATGGGAGGAAACCGGAGGACCCAGAGAAAACCCACGAGGATGGACGGGCGACCCTACTCCTTGTCACGTACAACCAGGGATTCTAAACCACGCCAGTTGAGTCAATGACACGCCTTATGATACAGCGCGCACGTGCTAACCATTCGGCCACTTAACCGCCCTATCTTGAGATAAAAACAATGAAATGGGGTTTAACGTCCCATTGCTTTAGATAACAATGTCTGGAGATAATTATTTAGTTATATATAGTGAACGGATATTGCCCGAAGACCTTTTCAATAATCTTATGCTAATGCAATATTTGTCACTTACCTGTGGGGGAATCCCGAGAGAGAGAGAGAGAGAGAGAGAGGGGGGGGGGGGTCTAGTCTGGCTAGATCATAAACAGTTAAATGAAATAAGGGAGGTCAAACGTAATAGACTCGTAGACAGTTGAAAAGAAATATGCTTGCCATGTAAAATTTTTATAATGCTATTTAGCAACAAGGGGGCGGGTCCAGGGTGATCTGTTCGGAAGGGGGGGGGGGGGGCGGTCAGTTCCCCATCGGAAGTATGATGTCTATATTATTAAGTATTAAGACTATTTGACTTTTATTCCGGTATATATAATCACATTTTAATTTTAAGTAACTAAGCTAAAATCCAAATTTTAGTAATTTGATTGGATAATATTAGATTGATTTAGTGCTTAGCCAATCAAAATTGAAGTATCTACTAAAATTGGATTTTATCTGTAGTTAAAATTTCGAGAAACAGGGCCCAGAGCCTTAATAGCCCTGACCCATTGTTGCTCCCGATTGAAGGGCACATTTTATAATTTAAAAATTTATAAAGATAACTCCACAATTTATTTAATTAGAATTTAATATTTTATTAATTTTGGGAAAGTTAGCAGGTCAGCAACTGTTCAAATAATAATAAAGACGAATGCAGTGTGAAACCATAGATCATTCAGGGTGGGGCTGTGTACGGTTGGGGAATTTGTAAAAGGGGGTTTAATTTCCGTTTTCGTGTTAAAGTGATATTATATAAAGGCATGTGTAGGCGTTGGTTAACCCAGCTTGGTGCTTTCTTTATATTTTCTTTAAAAAAGTAATTCGATTTGACGGCCTTCATCGCTGAATTGGAAAAACCTAACACATGTATATAATCACATTTTAATTTTAAGTATCAATTTCCTTCCTTTCTCTTGACATTACGAATGAAATGGATGGAGTTAAAGCGAGAATTTCAAATTTTCTAAGAAAGTCAAAACATAATTATTTCTATGTCTTTTGCTCAATAGGTTATCAAATCACTATTATACGACCATGGGCATTATTTCCCACCCTTAAACATTTGACACAGAAAATAACAACACAATTACCTCCCCTGTTTTGCTATTGACAACATGGGACAGCCATTTTCCAACGTTGGAATTTGAAGTTAAAAATGATATTTTTGCCAATTTCTCAGCTGGCAATAGCGAATTATAGGATTAATAGGATTAGGATATCATCTATTCTAAGGCTTTATTTTAATACATTTTAAAAATATAACTTGAAAATTTGCAATTGCAACTTTAAATCATACTAAACCTACACTGTCTGTCTACAATGAGCTCCGCTTGAGAACAGACACTAAGCTAGTTGACAGACATTTTAGTCCTAAATCGACGATTTTAGTCGAAAGTATATTTCGAGAATGCTTTCATTTGATAAAATTGAACAGGTTAAAACAGAGTCTTTTTGTGAACCGGAGTAGGGCCGCATTACAAAAACAGTTGTTGGATATGGCGGCCATCTAGGGCAGAGATCTATATTCGAAGTAGAGTAGATAGTTCTCTTGTGTGTAGAATGGGAGCTAAATGTCTCACGTATCTCCATTAACCGGGATAATGAAGACGGGCATACGCCATAGAGTGTTCTATGAGGGAAATTTTGCCCGGGCAGCGGCGTTATATCGAATTTTTTTTTAAAATTTAGACGGGGGACGGGTATTTTTTATATGTATATATTATGTTTGTTTTATTTTTTTTTATTTTGGAGGGCGTGTGCGTTTGTGTGTGTGTGTGTGGGGGGGGGGGGGGTGGATGTGTGACTGGGTAGGGGGGTATATTGGGCGCGTGTGTGGGGGTGGGCTGGGTAGGGGGGTATATTGTCATGTACTTATTATATAAGACCTGGAAATGACCAAGGTATATATTATCTATCTATATTAACCTATAATACAGGTATGTCTAGAAATGAGAGGACGTGATACTAGTTGATATAAAATATAGTCTTGTGACAGGTGTATGATGTGATCAGACCTTAACTTATAATACCAATTATTGCTGCATCATGGCGACCTTTGTGACTTATTATCAACACACGATGGACAGTAATTGAGCTTTATCGTCGTACTTTGCTGCTCTTTTACGTGCACACCGACATGTACACGAATTCCAACTGCATGAAGGGGTCTAATCTTACGAATGGGTCTCGGTTTATAGTTATCTTTTTCCTTGTCGGTAGGTTGGATGGCCGAATGGTTAGCAGGTGCGCGTTGTATCATAAGGTCTGTCATTGAGTCAAGTGGCGTGGTTTCGATTTCCCGGTTCTTCGTGGCAAAGAGTAGGGTCGCCTGTCCAACCTCTTGGATTTCTCCGGGTCCCCCGATTTCCTCCCACTGCTAAAGACCCCTAGCTACGTGTAAGCGAATTATTGAAATAAAATTGAACCATATGTTAGTCCCGAAACGACCTAGTTTGTGTCGAGTGGCCGCTACCCCCCCCCCCCCCTCTATATATATATATAGCCCCTCTCTCCCTCTCTAATTCTCTCTCTCTCTTTCTCTCGTTCTCTTTGTAAGATAAACCGTCCTGCAAAATTAATTCTCGGGGAAACAACGGGGAAACACTGGGATCGAATCGGACCTTCTCGTTTCACTGAGCCCATTTAACTAAGCTAAAATCCAAATTTTAGTAATTTGATTGGATAATATTAGATTGATTTTAGTGCTTAGCCAATCAAAATTGAAGTATCTACTAAAATTGGATTTTATCTTTAGGTCAGCAACTGTTCAAATAATAATAAAGACGAATGCAGTGTGAAACCATAGATCATTCAGGGTGGGGCTGTGTACGGTTGGGGAATTTGTAAAAGGGGGTTTAATTTCCGTTTTCGTGTTAAAGTGATATTATATAAAGACATGTGTAGGCGTTGGTTTAACCCAACTTGGTGCTTTCTTTATATTTTCTTAAAAAAAGGTAATTCGATTTGACGGCCTTCATCGCTGAATTGGAAAAACCTAATACATGCACTCATAAAATCGGGAAAACCATGCGTCCTGTCAACCGAGAACTGTCCATGATCAAATCATCAGTCAATCACGTCTGGTTAATCAAGAACCATGGGTTATTGCCGTGCATTATCAATGATTTCTATTTTTAGACTCATCACGTGAAAGATAGATCAACCACTTGTCAAATAAAGAAACCTGGGCGCTAGACTTCATAGTAGATTTAACGTCTACACGTCTTCTAGGAAATTACGGACAGGAAAGGGTTTTAAAGAATTTATGATAATGATTGGAAATCCAGCTATAAGAGGGGGGAGCACCATGATGACAGAGGTGAGTTTGGACACATTTTAATGTAGCCCATGCCCTATATGTACTATATATTGTTGAGATACGGCATATACGCAACGAATTATTAAAAAGAAACTAGTAATTATTTCAGTTTTGTTTACAACCAAGCTGGTCTAAACCAGCCAAAATATCAAATATGACATTGCATCATTTAAGACAGTTAAATGTTAGTTTTCTTACGTATTCATTTTATTTTTAAAATCAAAGTAGCTTTGATCTAATGTGGTCGATAGATTTATTGCATCCCTTTGTACCGTATATTATATTGATACTAACAGATGTTTAATAGTAACAAGAGAGAGAGAGAGAGAGAGATGAGGTTTAAGGTCCACTCACACAAACCAGGTCATTTCGGAACTAACATATATATGGTTCAATTTTATTTCAATAATTCCCTTGCACATAGGGGTCTTTAATAGCAGTGGGAGGAAACCGGAGGATCCAGAGAAAACCCACGAGGTTGGACAGGCAACCCTACGCTTTGTCACGACAAGCGGGAAATCAAAACCACGCCAGTTGACTCAATGACAGACCTTATGATACAGCGTACACATGCTAACCATTCGACCATCCAACCCCCCCTTAATAGTAACAAAAGATTCATTTTGCAAGCAATTTTGGATTGTAGTAACTGTTGTCACTTTTGTTTTCTCTTTATTTAGGGTGTGGTGGTTACTGATGCAGTGGCAATTTATCAGTTCCACCAAACAGACTTTAAACAAATTCCATATTCTTTAAATGGTGCAAAGTATATTAGACTCCTCCTTCACACACATATATTGTTTTTTGGGGGCTGGAACACGATCTTTAATTGTTCCTTGTGCAAAATCATAGGTGACCACGCCCCTGATTGGTTAAAGTATAGCTAAGTCTCTAACTCAATATCATCAAAAATCTTCGATATTGAAAACACAAATTATTTGTCAATTCAAATCAACATTGGTCTTGTGATCTTCAAGACAAAATAAACATTTTACCATTGGTACACGAATCGTGTACCATAATGCGTTTCAGCGCCATTTGGAACAAGGGACTCAAAGAACAGGGCTAGACATATTCCACAAGTCATGTCAAATGGGGACGCTATATTGTTATCTGGAGAGCGTGCACAATAAATACCATCGGTGTAGACTGGAAAAACCAGGCGCTAAAGATTGCCATTCACACGAGACTTGTGGCATATTTCGCCGAACATAACTGATTAGAAATTACAGTAAAAACAGAAACAATTAAATGTAAATCAGTTCATATACAATCAGATTACATTATTATATGCGTTGCGACCCATTTTTGTCAATTTCTAGGTCCGAAATATTAGCGATTTAGTTTCTTTAACACTCTCTGAATATTATGTTGCTCCAAGATATTTTTAGTGAGTAATTAGCCCACCTGGAGCAGAAATGTAGGACATTAAAACCTCATTTCATTTTATTTATAGCAAGGCGATATTTAAAGATACATTATGGGAGATTCGATAACAAGTCGGCAGTTCTCACTATAATAATTAAAATCTAGATAACGTAAAGGCAATTTGCTGAAAATTACATTCAAATTGATCCACTATAAACCGAGAACTAAGCGAATAAAATTTCTGCCTGGCCTCGGTCATCATTACTAAAGTCAGTACGTTAAACAGCATAGTCTCGATTATCCATTTAATCGTTTAATCGAGAAGGAAAGTTATGCAGTAAATCGGATCACAATCCACTTAAGATCGCAGGCTAGCGATGCCATCTAGAGTTGATTATGGTCTGGTTAAGTTAATTAATGTCTAATTAATAATTTAGATAACATTTCAGGCCTAAAGAAAGACCTACGATAGACAGATTTAGCTCTTGCATAATGTATGTTTAAAATATAATTTTTTTATATGTGTGTAACGTAACTACATTTTGGTAATATTCAAATACAGCCCTGTAGAAAAATCATCAGGGCAGTGGCATTACTGAATTATTCAAATATATACCGGTAGTCCTATAGAAAAATCGTCAGGGCAGTGACTTACTGAATTGATACAAATTACAATTTTTTGCTAATTTAGTTTAATTATTTAAAGATACTTTCCCACATACAACCTGTGTGATTTGATGATATACATTTGTATTTGGTCTAAAAACATATTCAAACTAATTAATTTATCAAAAATTTGCTTCAAATCCCTCTCAAAACTGTGCATTGCGAGGAGGTACCCCAAGCTATAAAAAAAAATCTGTTTTTAGAAGCCATGTTTGTCACCTAACTTGATTGAGGGGGGGGGGGGGTCCATTTTTCAGAATGTATTTGTCATTACTTACTGTCCTTTTAGCATACATATTGAGGCCTAAGTAAATTCTTGAATTATTTTCTGTCAACTGCTTTTTCTGCCATATATTTGGAGAATCTGTTATATGTTATACATCCCTCAATGTTCCCAAAACCGCCTAACCATTCGATCAAGAAATAACAACCACTCCCACAATCAAGCTAGCATACCATAAGCCGTTACACAAGCTGTCGGGTTGGCAGTTAGTGATACCCTGACATTTTTACCCTATACATTGTACTTGTCCCATGGGTGTTTTTCGGGTAATCCATATATACCAAATTTGCCATACTTTTATTGGAAATAACCACTTGATAAATACTTTCGTGACAATGTATCTTTAAAACTGCCTTCATTAACCCAGTCAGTGCAGAACAATAGGAAGTATAACCCCATTTCATTTATTATCAAAGCTTGCTTTTGTTTGACTCTTTTCCCCAAAAACAATTATGTGACTCATGACGTTAAGGAAGGAAGGGATTATTAATCTACATAAATAGAATCACAGATATCTGTGTGCGTGTTCGCCAAACATACTTCGTCACCGCGATCCACCCCCATATTTTTGGTAAAAATTAACCAGCCCTGTGAATGTTTGAGACCATCAAATTTGAGCCCTGGCAAATTTGACCCAGTACCAATTTGGGCTCCCAAACAAATTTCGCCCTGGGCGAATTTGACCCTGTGCAAAATTTTTACCCTGGCGTATTTAGTCCCAGGCCAATTTGAGCCCCGGGCGAAGCTGGGTATCCTGTTAGTAATATTATAAATGACAAATGTAAAATTTAATGACAATGTTTTTGACTCCTGATACCTGGATCCTAATTATTGCTCCATTTAGCCATTAGGATTGACCTGTAGGTATGCATAATCTTTCTAGAACACCTAGTACCTCTTCTTATTTGTGTTAGTCCCGAAATGACCTGGTTTGTGTCGAGTGGAGGTTAAACTGTCTCTTTGGAAATATGGACAGTGAATGGCCGAATGGTTAGTAGCAGGTGTGCGTTGTATCATAAGGGCTGTATTTGAGTCAACTGACGTGGTTTCAAATCCCTGGTTGTACGTGACAAGGAGTAGGGTCACCTGTCTAATCTCATGGGTTTTCTCTGGGTCCTCCGGTTTCCTCCCATTGCTAAAGACCCCTACGCGCAAGCGAATTATAGAAATAAAATTGAACCATGTTTTTCGTCCCGAAATGACCTAGTTTGTGTTGAGTGGACGTTAAACCCCATCCCTCTCGTTTTAACTCTCATAAATGTGTGTGCCACAGTGTTCTTGGAATAATCGTGAAAATAATGCTGATTCCGATTTAGCAATTTTAGCTAAAAGAATACATTAATTTTTGGGGTAACCATAAATACATGTATAATCTTTTTGTCTAATGAATTGTGGAGGTATGCTTGTCTGTTACCTGCGTAATGTCAGTTAATCATTATCTCACCTATCAGCTGATTGAGTTGATCAGGTGGGAAAAGATTAAGAAGTAATACAGGTGATGATATTAACACCCTCATATTAAACTCGTATTATATTTCCTCGTTTTTGTTTTTATCTTTGTTCGAATTATTTTACATGAGTCATTGACATCACATGTTTGTCTTATGACTGATGTACGCATCACAAAATAAATTGAGCAATTTTTTGTTATTTTAAAACAAAAGTCAAACTTTTAAAATGGATGTCAAAATTTTAAAATGGGAGTCAGAATTCTAAAATAGAAGTCAAAATTCTAAAATGAAAGTCAAAATTCTAAAATGGATGTCAAAATTACGTTAAAATTTTAAAATGGAAGTCAAAATGGAAGTCCAAAGCCTTTTATTAAATCATTTTAAACAAGAAAAGAAATGCTGTTAATTTATGAATTACATGAAATTAGGCACACTGATCAGCAGTGAATATTCGTTAGGCCACTACAGTCACTGGGAGGGATGACATGTGGGTTGAAAAGAAATGAAATGGGGTTTAACATCCAACTGTTCTGCTCCTATACTGGGCTAATGAAGGGATCTTTTACGTGCATTCCAATGTATACACAGGACCTCTGTTTTTCGTCTCATCCGAAGGACTAGACAGCTGTCCTTGTCAGGCCCTCTGTCATGCATCACTGACAAGGGGGAACCACGCCGGAAAATCTGGATGAACTTTCTCGGCCAATTCGATGTGGGTTAATAGCAGGCCAGGAAATAACGGTTATAGATGTACCTGACATTTTCAACTTAGTGCCAGACATGTATTAATAATATCAATAAAAAAGGCAATTGGTGCCGGACAAAATTACAGGCACCAGAGGTTTACTGCCTGACATTGCCTGAATCTGGGCCTGACATTGTCTGTGACAGGTGCCTTATTTCCAGGCTTGGTTTAATTAATAACTATCCATATTAACTATTTCCCTTTTGCAAATTAACTTTTAGAATATTTTTTGGAAGTATTAGAAAATTAAATAAAGGTGTTTGAAATATATCTGGATAAAAAATATTTCCTATTTAGTCAATGTGATTAAAATACAGATCTATATTTCGTTTCGTTTTTTTATACTTTCGATGGCCTACATTACACGAGTATCTGACTGGTTGTTGCGATAGGTCAGGTCAGGGGTCATACGAGCAGCTTTTGACCTCATGACGTCAGACTTTTGATTAACCAATCAGCATTCATGTTACTAGTAGATTACCCACAG